CATTTCTTGTTTTTGCCACTGATTTGTTAATATTAGATATGTATCATAACATCTGTGATTATGATAAAGTTTTTGAAAGCTGGCAGATGCAGCATAGAAAACATGATTGGTTTATATAGAGTAGAATGACAAACAGAAAACAAATGTAGAAAATGATGATACCACTATAATGCCAATAGCACTAATTATGACTAAAACCACATTTCAACAAATAAGGCAGGCATGTTGGCTTGCATCCAGGATCTCATCTGCATTGGAGGTGTCAGTAGGAGTTTCCCAGTGCAAGTTCCACCCCAGTCAAAAATATGAGCCTCTATCTGAATGAAATATCTAAAGCCAAGGAGGTCTGGAGGTGTGGCTGAAGTGGTAGATCACTGCGTAGGAAACACATGGCACTGAGTTCATACACTGCTACCACCAAACATAAAAGAAAGAAAGGAAAGACACATTTCTGATATTCTGAGACAGAAGAGCTCTCCAGAATCACTGTGTCTGGTAGGAGCTCCTTGTCTCATTCCTGATGTTAGGGGAAATGGTTTCAGTTTTTCACCATTAAGTATGATGTTGGCTATAGGTTTGTCATATATAGCCTTTACAATGTTGAGGTACATTCTTTCTATTCATAGTTTTCTTAGAGCTTTTATCATGAAGTGGTGATGAATCTTGTCAAAGGCTTTTCTGAGATTGAGAAGATGAAGTGGTTTTGTCTTTGCTTCTATTATGTCCTGTATTACATTTATAGATTTATGTTGAACCATCCCTGCATTCCTGGGATGAAGCTGACTTGGTCTTGTTGGATGATCTTTCTTTTTATTTTTTTGTGAAGGAAAATGTATTTATTTAGTTTATATTTTCAAAAGTGTAGGTCTGGCTTGTGTTGAGGGATCTATGTATTTATTAATATCAGTGATTTCTAAAAGGATACTCCATATGCTCCAACTGACTTTTTTTGTGGATGAACTTTCTGATGTGTTGTTGAACTTATGTTGCCATTATTTTATTGAGGATATTTGCATCAATGTTCATTAAGGAAATTAGCCTATGGTTCTCCTTTTTGGAGGTGTCTTTGTCTGGTTTGGGGATAAGTGTAATACTGGCTTCATAAAATGAGTTAGGCAGTGTTCCTTCCCTTTCTATTTCATGGAACAGTTGAAGGAGGGTTGGTGTCAGTTCATCTGTAAAGGTATGGTAGAATTCAGCAGAGAATCCATTAGATCCTGCACTTTTCTTTTGTGGGAGACTCTTGATTGCTACCTCAATTTCATTTTGTGTTATAGATCTATTCAGGTGATTAATGTCCTCTTGGTTCAGTTTTGGCCATAAGTATGTAGAAATCTGTACATTTCTTGAAGATGTTCAAATTTATTAAAATATAAGTTCTCAAAGTAGTCTGATGATTTCCAGGGTTTCTGTGGTGTTTGTTGTTATCTCTCCTTTTGCATCTCTTTTTTAAATTAGGATATATTCATTGTACAGGAGGGAATTCATATTGAAAATTCTGATTAAACATATTGTATGTTCATTACATTGCTCCTTCATCTCCTTTATACCTATCCCTGCCTTACTTAAAGCAATTGCAAGAGGCTTATTGTTTTTTTCATATGAAGCTCATCAACCATGTACCCACACCCTAACTTCATTCACTGCTCCCTACCACTAGTACACCCCCACACTGTGCTTATTTTATAGTCCTGTCTTTAGTTAATGATGTTTAAGTTGATGGTCAAAGGAGTTTTTCAATCTATTCCCATGTGGATGCACTTACTATGAGCTGATTACCTGTTCCCATTACTCTCCCTTACTTTTTTACCTCTCGCTGCCCATTTTTTAACAGCTTTCCATCAATACACATCCTCTTCTCTTGTTCTTATGTTTGGATCTATCTTCCAAATATAAGAATCCTCAGTCTCCTTACAATACAATCTTTCAAAAAGCATAGAGGTTCTTGGCTGCTCTTCTGCCTGGTGGCAGCCTTCTTCTGTGAGAATTTCAGGGTTCTCAGGAGAGTGATCTGTACACCAATGTTCACAGCAACAAAATTCACAATAGCTAAGCTTTGAAAACAACCAAGGTGCCCTATGACTGAAGAATGGATCGTGAAAATTTTGTCTATATATGCAATAGAGTTTTAATCAGCCATAAGGAATGATTTCTTGTGTTTTGAAGGTAAATGGATGCAATCATAGGATATTATGTTTAGTGAAGTTAGCCCAGCTCAGAAACACAAACAGTTTTTATTTTCCCTCATATGTGGAAGATAGATCCAAAGATAAATATATGAACAAAAACAAGTATGATTATATACAAACTCAGATGTAGAACATGTTTGTTACCCTGGAACTACTCTATGGATCTCAGGGAAAGATGGAAAGGAAAAGAGAATAATGACAGAGCATCAGTAACATCAGAAATCATAAGATGTGAAGATACACGACAGAAGGAGACTTATGCACTGAAAGTTCTTGAAAACTGCAGATGGGAGACAAAGGAGTAAGGGCGAGTAATGGAATGGTTTGAATGGATCAAAGCAAAGCACACTCACAGTGGGCATACATGAGAAATCCCTTTGAATATCAACTTTAACATTAATACTGAAAGACACAACTGTAAACCAGGTACAGTGTGTGTGTGGAGTACTTGTGGGAGGAGGGAAGGAGAATGAAGGAGATGAAGGTGAGGGTATGTTGTTGTTGATGAATTTCACACACTTCTATGAAATAGAACAAAGAAACCTCTCACAATTGCTTCGAGTGGAGTGGGGGGCTGAGAGGGAGTGATGATGGGGGCAATGTAATTAATATACAATACAAGTGTAATTAGAATTGTCACTATGAATCCCCCCTGAATTACGAATGTATTCTAATAAAAGAAAAATATTTCAGTGGAGAGGTAACTTACTGTTCTGATTTTATACTTAGAGATTTTATGCATCTTTAATAGAATATAATCTATGCGTCAATTAATTAATGTAATAATTTTCATAATATACTCGTAAGGATAGTTTAGGGTAGACACCTGCCCCACATGCAGAAGACCAGTGTTTTACTATTAAGAAACAGAAAGTATATAAATGAATTGATGGCCAGTGTATCTGCTAAAGAGAGATTCCACCATTGTAAGCACTGTTGGTAATACAAACACAGCTATATTGATAATAAATATAATTCATAAATCAAATAAATACAGCACTGTAGTATTTATTCATGTAAGCGAAGTACATTCAAATTTCACATTCAATAAATTTAATTTGCATTATCGAGTGAAATGTACTACAATCATAAAAATCATGCTTCTCTGAGCAAACTGTCTGTGAAAGCTGGAGGCAGCATTTGGTGGGAGGTGAGTCCAGCAGTATTGATGACCAGGAAGGAGATTGGCACTTCTACAGCACAAATTCTGAAAAGATTTCAGTGTGGAAAAGAAATTTTAATTGTTTTTGGGAGGACCCAGTTTTTCAATGTGTTACAACTGAGGTAATAAAAAAATAAATTGTAGAAGATATGATTATGAACAATCTACTTGTGTACTGAAAAGACAAATAAAAGTAATCTTTTTTAATATACAATGAGAATAAAACAGTAAGTATAAAAGAAAGATGGTATCATTTTCAGAATTTTCAGCACTATCATCTGAACAGAAAAGAATATTTCTGCTCTTAAAACTTATAAGTATTATTGCATCTCAGAAGCAGTAGAAGTTATTTTAAAATAGAGTATTACAAAGGGTCACATCCTCTAATATTGATGCACAAAATCATTGTTACAGCTATCAATTTTCAACACATTTTCATTTTTAAAATTTATAAATTGTTTTAGTTTTGTACAAGGAAATAAAGGCTTAGACTACTGTGGAATTTTTAAAAACTCATCTATGTTCTTGACCAGATTACAGCTTCAACATTTATGACAGGGTGGGATCTGATAACTACTATGAAAAGAAGAATAAAGGTTTTACAGATCCGTGGTACTTAGGACTCCTGTAACTCTAAACTAGTAACCTGGGAGGTCTTCCGAGCCACATCTTCCCAACAGTCCTGTGTCCTACGGACTTTAAGGCCCTGAGTCACTTATGTGGACCCTGCCTGACCTCTCCATGTTGCACATTCTGTCCAAGGAACATGCCCATGTCCCTGCTGTTCACATGCCAAGTAACACCTGCATGAGAATTGTGCATATATGCCTCTGCAGACCTTCATTTCACAGAGGAATGTTTGTGTCAGTAAGTGGTTAAAACTGCATTTTCAAAGGATACATTACTTACATGAAAGTTCATTCTAAAGATATGAATTTCTATTTCAATGGATTTGATCAGTTACTTTGTATCAGTTTATGAGCTCAGACACACTGACATTTGGGGTATGGTAATTCCTTCTTTACTTTAATATCTTGTGTTTCTAAAATCATTCATAACATGGATGTTCTCAAAAAACTAGAAGTCTGTAGGGATATCTGTCTCTTCATTGTGACACTAAAATGTTCAGTGACTGTTAAACGTCCTGTCGTGGAAATTTCTGGTAATACATGTCCATCAATGACAACGTGCAGAACTATGAACACAAGAATCCAAGGGAAGGGCACTGAGTACAGCAGGATTGGGAGGGATTCCGTGGAAGGAGGGAGACAGAGATCCATTTAGCATGGAGTGGAATCATTATGTGTTTAAAAACAGGAAATGTAATGTAACAATGTAGGAAGGTTCACTGAAAGCAAGTTGCATTATTATCTCTGAGTTCACTGACATAGGATTTGCCCCACAAACCTGACCTAAAGAAAAGAAAATCTGATGTTCAGAGCCAGCAGAGGTCTCCAGAATCACTGTGCATTGTGGTGTTGGGGGAAATGGGAGGGTGAGAAACCACAGTGACAGAAATGAAAGTTCATGCATCTCACTGCACCTGCTCCTGGGGTTGCTCTGTGTTCAGTGTGTGCTAAGCACCCCCTGCTGGTCACGAGTACCCTGCAGGGAAGTTTATGTCTGGGCTCAGACTGAAGTCTCCTCACTGTGTCTCTTGCACAGTAATACATGGCTGTGTCCTCAGCTATCAGGCTGCTCAGTGCTAAGGTAACCTGGTTTTTGGAGGTATCCCTGGTGATGCTGAGTAGGAATTTAAGAGCTGAATTATAACCTGTGTTTCCATTGCTCCATAATACACCAACCCATTCCAGACCCTTTTGTGGAGGTTGCCGCATCCAGTGCATATGACAGCTGGGTAAAGAGACTCCTGTGATGGTGCAGGTGAGGGTCAAGGTCTCTGAGGGCTTTGCCAGGCCACGTCCTGACTCCTGCAGCTGCCCCTGGGACAGTACACCTGGGAACAAGGAGCAACAAACACCTTCAGTCAAACAAACCAGAGACCCCATGCCCAGTTCATTCTCCTAACACCACTGAGACACTCACAGCATAGAGATGCCACCAGGCAAAGGAGCATCCCCAGGACCTCCATGATCTGTGAAGAATTCTGTGAGAAGGAGACTGGGGTTCCTCATCTAAGGTTGGGATTTTAGCCTGAATCTAGAGTCTAATTTGCATGGGATGGGAGGAGCTGAGTATATAAGTGAAGAGTAGAAGGCAGAACCTCCTTTTACCCCTCTCAGAGAGAGTTCCTCCATGTGCTGCTTAGATCAAATTGGTATTAATATATCAGAAGTCCTTAACTCCAGTGGTTTCATAGGTGCATAGAAACAGGCGGTGGGGCAAGGAAGAGTATATATTGTTATGGTCCAGTCCACATCTGAGTGTTGCATATTACGTGTCCACATTCATGCATAGGGAAGAGACCAGGCTGTGACATCCTCAGTCCATTCCTTCATCTCTGTAACTTGTCAGAGATGGTTCACTAAGGGCAGTACAATGGGGTTCTCATTGGGCATGGAGGAGGAATTTTTAAGAGATGGCATCAATGTCCTCTCCTATTTAGGAATAATTTTTTGAATTCTGAATTAAGTATTTTTGAGTTAATAAGCTCTTTAAGGTCCTGCTTCTGTATTTTGTTTCTTTGTGGTTGAAGTTTTAAGCACCTTGAGGTCAAGGGCCATGTACAAACCAAGGAACTCTGAAAGTGGAGATGTTGTTTGCCTCTGTGCTAACCAAAAATATTGGACTTATTTTTGCTCTTACAATTTTTTAAAGGACCAAATGACAAAATTTTGTATCCAGTATGTCAAGGTTTTAGATGGATAGGGCCTTTAGGAGGTGGGGCCTAGTGGAAGGAAGGAGTTTCATTAATGCCATGCTCTTGACAGGGGATGGGGAAATTCTGCTGTGCCCTCCATGAACCCTTTCTCTATGCCTGTGCACAGTAAATGTCTTCTTTTAAATGGCACCAATAGTTGTAACAGTGGCACCCTCCTTATTCCAATACTTACTTGATGCCCTGTCTTGCAAACTACAGGATTTCTGAATCTTTCCTTCCTGCTCTCTGCTTCACTTCACTTCTCACTGTAAATGTGAGTAAAAATATCCAGTGAATACCCTGACAGCCAACCGAGTGATGGTCTCTTCAGGCCAGATTAACCAGCTCACCAACCTTCAATTCAGCTTTCCACATAACCTCAGGACATGGACAAAATATAAACACATTATTTTTCCACAGTAAAGACCTTGGGATGTGCTGTCCAGTTTCTCATGGACTCCTCACTTCCATGAACCCTCATCAACACCATCTGTACCATACACATTCCTGTCAGCTACATGGTCTACAGAGCTGCAGTAGATTACCATTAACCTCACTCACAACACAGAAATTATTTTCATCCAGCCTGCTTCCCCAAATCATAACAATCTTCAAGTTTAATAGAAGCAATGGTTCCTGCTACAGTGTGAATTTTCCCATGTATGTCAGCTTTCCATTTTGTGACAAAAGTGGAAACTGAAGCAGCTTATTAACTCAGGAGTCAGCTGTCCTTAGTCATAGATCATCACAACTATTGAGGCAGAGGTGCAGATACCACTGGAGTTGTGCCTGAAAAAGATGATGCCATCGGTTCCTTCACTCCTAGCTCTCTCCTGTCCACGTGATTCATTCTATGATATTACACAGCAGGACTTTGCATGACCTGGTTCTTACAGCCTCCACATCCCTGAGAAGTCAACTTTTCTTCTTCATACATTACTCAGTTCTTAGTATTCCACTGTAGCAGAACAAAACAAACTAATGCACCAGAAATCTGAATTCACCAAAATATTAATTATTCTTCTTATGACTAAGTGGCATTTTTCCCTAAGATGCAAGGATGCACCACACATGCAGATCCACAAACGTGATTCACCATCGAAATGAAGTGATTCAGAGTATCTATGTGCTGATCTCATTGGATAGAGAATAGGCAATGAAACAAGGTGAAAACTTTCATGAAAAATGTAAAAACTCTCACTGAGTACTGTTTTATACCACAATACAATGACAGGCATATATGACAAATCCATTGTCAACCTCACACTGAATGGTGAAAAGTAGGACTGTTTTCCTCCAAGATAAAGAAGAAACTTACCATATTTTATCTCACTACTATTTGTGTTTCAGTAACAACAATTTGATAAAAAAAAAAACATCAATTTGAAAGGTATATATTCATTTGTCTGATATGTTACATAGTTTATTTTGAATACTGAGAACATTTGTACTTCTATTTTTCGTGGTATGTTCAGGCTTGAAGTCAGGGCCTCACACTTGCTAGGCAGGTGCTAACTACTTTAGTCATGCCTTTAGTCTCTTTTTGCTTCAAAGAAACAAGAGATGCTTAGGATAGTTGTGAATTTAAAAATAATTAAATCCATATACATATCCTTAACCAGAACATTGCTTCAACATTTAGGACAACTGTGGACTCAGAATGCCTATAAACACAGGCAATAAAAGTCTAGACATTTTTGCCCCATAGGAGTCTTGTTACAACAGCTAAAATCCTGATGAATAATTGAACCAAACTTCATAAAGGCCATGTGACCTATGACACATCACACAGAGGAATAGGAGCTCTTGACATAATTAACAGAGCTTGCTGTAGGGCACTGAAGACAGGAACAGACAGAGATGATTTCTAGCTTCCATAGTCTGTGTACACTCTGAATGACCTCCTCACCCTGGTTCTTGATGAAGGGTGCCCCTTCTCACCCAGAGCCATGCCATCCATGTCCCCACTGTCCACATGGCAGGTAACACCCCTATCTCTGAGGACCTTGTTTTATTGATTTTGTTTGTGTGTGTGTTCCCAACTTCTTTTAATCCCACCCCCAAGGAAAATATTCCATATATGAGAATATATTATTAAGATATACTCTTCTATGGCCAATTTCAGGGTTTTCAACATAGTTTCTCAGTCTCAGCCTATTGATATTTGTGTCAGATAACTCCTGGTGGATATGGCAGTGTGACTGTGGGATGCTTGAAAGATGGATGGTCTGTAAACACTAGATAGCAGATAGACTTCTACTGCTGTTCTGGACGAAAGCAGTAATTTCTCCTCTGTCTTTCCTTTCCAGGGAAATGGAAAGAAAGTATCACTGCACTTCATAGTAGCCCAGGCAAATATGTACTGGAACATATGGTGAAGAAAATAGAGGAGGTCTTTGCTTCATAGAACTCATAGCCTCACTGCAGTTTCTGGATGGAGGTAACTTATTGGGATCACTTCTCCCTAGAAGTAATCATTAATGTGATGGTGTAAACCTTCAAGGAGTAAGTGCAAAAAATTACACAAGTCATCAAATGAAGAAATGTCAAGGACAAGTGGCCAGAAAGCCATTGTTAGAAGAGCTCTGAATCCCTGTGAAGCACACGATAGAAAGGCAAGGTGAGCCCACCAGGCAGAAGTGAAGCCTCTCAGCACACCATGTGAAATACAGGATTTACATTTTAAGTCCACTGAAAATCTAAAGGAAGGATGTGATCAAATATGTCTCAGCAGGTTCTTGAAGCCAACTAGCTTTTTATATGTTCTTTGGCATACACAATAAATAGGCAAAGCATGAGCTCGCTCAATGGCTGGTTGAAGAGAATTCACCTCTTGTGCATCCAGAGTGACTGGCAGTCAAGAAACTGCCTTCTGAAGGAATTCCCGACATTGACTTTTCAGATGCTAAACAGCTCACAGAATATACTAGAAAGAAGCCAAAATATAATACAGACTGTGCTCTCCAGCAACATTAACTAGTTCTTGGAGTGGATGTCCAGGACATTTGAGGGATAAATTCTCCCTGAGAAATCACCTCCTTGTTTATGTCACTGACACTCCATATGTGAGGATGAGGGAGTGCATTTGTGGAGTGCAGAACTGAAGAGGGATTTTCTTGTACATGATGCAGAGGACATTTCACTGCATTGTTGAAGGGTGTGGAAAACACTTTTCCTTGGATTACAATCTATATATATATATATATATATATATATATATATATATATATATATACATGCAACCTTGGGAGAAACATTTTGTATGCCTCCTCTGAAGACTGTAAAAGGAGATTTGTCCAGTCAAATAACATGGAATCCTTCATCTTAATATAAATGAGGAAAAGAAAGGATCCCTGAAAGGAAAGATGGAACATCATCCTCCAACAGGGTGAGTGGTAACAGAAGGGTGACTTGACACAGATATGCATCATGTATCATTGTTCCTAGGAAGAGATGTTTAAATTATACAAATCTGTGGGTCACATTGTAACATTTTCATTCATGTACATAATGTGCTTTGACCATATTCACACCTCATTACTCTCTTGTCTCCTCTCTGATTTTCCCTTTGTCCCCTTCCTCTTCCTAAATAGTCACCAAAAGAAGGGAATTTTAAGTTAATATTTCAACCCTGAGAAGCATGATTTTAGTTTTTTTAAGTAGCACATATAATTTGTGATATTATTTTAAGAACATATATCCTATGGTTACCTTCTAATAGAGAAGTCAAAAAATATATTTCCAAATCATAATTCTTACTATATTTTGCGTTATATTTTTTTAATATGATACTTATTTTCGCATATTGTATAAGAAAAGAAATGACTTTCAGTTTTGTGGTTTACAATTGCACAGCTTTAAAAATGAAACTCGCAGTATGAGTTATATCCAAAGAATGAATATTGCGCAGGACATAGTCAATAAAGAGGTTGTTACATATTTCAAAGCCAAATTAATTAATTTTATGGTTTTTTCATCATTGTATCAAATTATAAGGAAATCATAGTTAAAAGAGCATGTTTATTTGATAGCCATAGAGCATATGAATAGCTTAGATACTTTTAAATAAAAGGGCAAACACTGTTAAAAAAAGAAAAAATAAACACTAGATACAAGTGATGCCACAGGTAAATCCTACTTCACGTGTGAGAGTGAAAACTGTCCCCCCAGTGTCAAAGGTCCTGTGTGGACAGAAAGTTCTGGTAACATGTGGACACAAATCTCAACACCATCAGCATTGTCACATCCGTGGAAGGAAAGACAATGATGGAGTGAAGAGAGGCCATGGAGGATGAAGGAAGTCCATGTGTGCATTAAGTGTTATAAAAATGACATTTATGTCACTAATCCCTAATCATCACTGAAAACTTACACATTTCCAGCAAATATTATGGTGGAGCATGTTCTGAGACAGAGGATGATGGACAAGAAGAGAAGCATATCTGATGCTCTGAGACAGGAGCTTCTCCACAGAGGCACTGCATGGTGGCCTCAGAAGAGAAGCTGGCTGGTGGAAGACACAGCCTCAGGACAGAGCTTTCAGGCATCTGAGAGCTCCTGCTCCAGAGGCTGACCTTGAACTCAGTGAGTTCATTTTGCCCTCTGGTGGTCCTGAGAGTCCCTGCAGGGAGGTTTGTTTCTGGGCTCACACTGAGGTTCCCTCACTGTGTCTTGAACAGAAATACAGGGCTGTGTCCTCTGTGGTCACAGACTTCACCTGCAGGGACACCTGATTCTTGGACGTGTCTCTGGAGATGGAGATGTGGCTCTTGAAGGATGGGCTGCAGCCAGTGCTGCTTTGATAACATTTATACCTCATCCTGTCCAAGCCCTTTCCTGGGGCTGATGGATCCAATGTCAGCACCAACCACTGGATGTGATGGAGAATCCAGAGAAAGCACAGGTGACAGAGAAGGTCAGGTCATGTTTCCTGCAACTGCACCTGGGACAGAAAACCTAGGGATGAGGAGAATCATACATGTCCTTCACCTGCCAAAAAACCTTGTGTGGACACATGTGCAACATAGGGGACCCTCACCATGGAATAATTTTCAACAGGTAAAGGAGAATAGTCAGCAATCTTGTGCTCTAGAACACAGTCCTGACTTCACAACAGAACTCATCCTTGTGTGAGGAGAGAGATATGAGATTCCTAGAGGGGAATTTAACCTAAACGTGAATAATAATTTTTGTGTGGGCAGTCCTCTTCATATACCTGGGGACAGACTGAGTTCAGAATTCTTTAGTCCTCCTGTGATTTGTGAGTTCTAACGTCTCTTGAACTCTAACAGTGTTTAAGTCTATAATAAGAGAGCACGTGTCTTACGAATGCTGTTAGAAGCAGGTCATAGAGTCCACACCATCCGAAGTCCAGCTCTAACTTCTGCTACTCCAGTCTCTGCTTCCTCACTCCTGCACATCCATCAGGATCTGGGTTTTGTTTGCACAGCTCTGATTCCAGCATAGCTCCTCTGTCTTCTTTACCTCTACTGAGATTTGGGTCTGAGATCCCTTTGAATTTTGACACCTTGTCACATTGCTCTTTTTACAAAATGTCCAGTCATTCCATTTTCTGTAAGACAACCTCTGAAGCAAGGCACACCTGCATCTGAACCATCAATGAATGGAGAAAATGCTTTTGTCCTGTGCTTTACTCTTAGGATTCTGCTTCATTAGAGAAAAGAAATATGGAATCTGCTTGAACTGCCTCATTGTCCAGATGGCTGTTTGAGCATGTATGATGTGATCGTTACACTTCTTTGTTCTGCCTGTCATGTTCTCCATAGGTTAACTCTGGATTTAAAGCCTCCAACATATCATAAAAGTCTGTTTTGTGAAAATGATTCACCATAAGTGTCTTGAATGCAAGGAATATGTCCTAATTCCAGTTGACAGACACTTGCCTGTCTTCGCGTTTCTCCTTGTCCCGTTTCTCTTCTGAAACAATCACAGAAGGTAGGGAATTTTAAGTTAATATTTTATGATTTTAGTTTTGTTAAGTAGCACATACAATTTGTGATATTATTTTAAGAATGTGTATACTATGGTTACCTTCTAATGGAAAAGTCAAAAATAAATATATTTCCAAATCTTAATTCCTATTATATCTTGTGTTATATTTTTGAGTATGATACTTACTTTGGCATATTGTATTAAAAAAGTGACCTTTAGTTTTGTGGTTTGCAATTGCACAGCTTTAAAAATGAAATTCACATACAAGTCATATCTACAGAATGAATGTTGTGCTATACATAGTCAATAAAGTGATTGTTACATATTTTAAGGCAAATTAATTAATTTTTATGGTTACTTTCATCCTTGTAATTATTATAAGTATTAAATTATAAGAAAATCAAAGTTAAATGACAGTGTTTATTTGATAGTAGCAGAGCATATGAACAGTTGAGATATTTCTAAATAAATGGGCAAACACTGTTAAAAAAATAAACAATAAACACTAAATTCCAGTGATGCCACAGGTAAATCTTACCTCACGTGTGAGAGTGAAAACTGTCCACCCTGTGCCAAAGGACCCTTGTGGATGGAAACTTCCGGTAACATGTGGACACCAATTTCCACACCATCAGCACTGTCACATCCTTCGAAGGATGCACAAATATGGTGTGAAGAGAGTACATGGGGGAGGAGAATGACCATGTGTGCATTAATTGTTATAAACATGACATTTATGTCACTAAGCCCTAATCATCACTGAAAATTTACATATCCCTATTAAATATTATGGTGGAGCATGTTCTGAGAGAGAGGATGTCAGAAAAGAAGAGAAGCATATCTGATGCTTTGAGACAGGAGCTTCTCCACAAACGCTCTGCATGGTGGCCTCAGGAGAGAAGCTGGCTGGTGGAAGACACAGCATCAGGACAGAGCATTCAGGCATCTGAGAGCTCCTGCTCCAGAGGTTATCCTTGAACTCAGTGTGTTCATTTTGCCCTCTGGTGGTCCTGAGAGTCCCTGTAGGGAAGTTTTTGTCTGGGCTCACACTGAGGTTCCCTCACTGTGTCTTGAACAGAAATACAGTGCTGTGTCCTCTGTGGTCACAGACCTCAACTGCAGGGACAACTGATTCTTGAAATTGTCTCTGGAGATAAAGATGTGGCTCTTGAGGGATGGGCTGCAGCCAGTGCTGCTTTCATAACATTTATGCCCCATCCACTCCAGTTCCTTTCCTGGAGGCTGATGGATCCAGTGCCAGCACCAACCACTGTATGTGATGGAGAATCCAGAGGGAGCTCATGTGACAGATGGTGTCTGTGAGTGCTTCACAGGCCAGGTCCTGTCTCCTGCAGCTGAACCGGGACATAACACCCAGGAACAAGGAGAATCACACATGTCAGTAATCTGCCAAAAATCCTCACATGGACACATGTGCAACCTTGGGGACACTCACCTTGGGATAGATTTTACCAGGTTCTAGACCACAGTCCTCCCTTCCTCATAGAACTCATTCCTGTGTGAGGAGAGAGCTATGAGATCCCTTGAGGGGAATTTAACCTGAATGTGAATAATAATTTTTGTGTGGGGAGTCCTCTTCATATACCTGGGGACAGGCTGAGTTCAGAATTCTTTAGTACTGTGTTTTGTGAGTCCTAACATCTCTTGAGCTCTAACAATGTTTTAGCTTATAATAAGAGAGCACATGTCTTATGAGTGCTGTTAGAAGCAGGTCATTGTGCCCACACCATCCTGAGCCCAGCTCTACCTTCTGCCACTCCAGGCTCTGATCCTTGGCTCCAGCACATCCATCAGGCTCTGGGTGTTGTTTGCTCAGCTCTGATTCCAGCACAGCTCCTGTTTTCTGTCTCCTTTACCTCTATTGAGATTTGGCTCAGAGATCCCTTGGAATTTTGACACATTTTCACATTGCTGTTTCACAAAATGTGCAGGCATTCCATTTCCTGTAAGACATCCTCTAAAGCAAGACACATCTGCTTCAGAACCATCAGTAACTGGAAAAATGCTTCTGATGTGCTTTACTCATATGATTCTACTCTATTAGAATGAAGAAATTGGGAATCTTCTTGAACTGTCTCCTTCGCCAGATGCTGTTTGCAGATGTATGATGTGACCATTACCATTCTATGTTCTGCCACTTATGTTCTCCATAGGTTAACTCTGGATTCAAAGGCTCCAAATCATTATAGAAACCTATTTTTGGAAAATGATTCACAATAAATATGTTGAATGCAAGGAATATGTCCCAATTAAAGTTGACAGACAATTTACTGTCAGCTTATGCCTCCATTCCCCAACTTCAAAACAGACTTAGAAAATTTCCCACATAACTGTATCCTCAATCTACTCTTATGTTCTGGCAGCAGGTATCTTTTATCTGGTATAGTATCAGGATGTTAGTTAGAGAGCTGGATGAATATTTTAGTACACAGGTAATGGAGATATTCAAGACCCTATCCTTCAGTGTTTTGCAAACAAGGCTGAGAGATCTAATTGTTCCTAAAAGTTTTGAGAATCAGGCACTTGCTGTTTAGATACTGATGACTGCTGTACAAAGCTTAGAAGACAGAACTTGTCTTATTACTGCAAATAATGATGAGGACCTAGGGACATAGGGAAACCTCCTTTCATAACTTATTCCTGCTTAGAGCACAGTAACACAACAAAGGAAAGGTAGTGGGATCTGTGCTCAGGTTCCTTTACCTCTTAGGTAGCATGTTATGTACTCAAGGAAGGCCTCTTGAAACTCTGGTGTTGCTTATTAAAACCCTTCCCTTAAAGCTTCTGAGAAAGTGGACAAACTAGAACATTCTGCTTTCATATGTACTCAGTGTACTGAGAAACTTCTTGGTGTGCCAAGAGTCATATTTTCCCAGTCTCATCTTTGCACAATACTGGAAGACATGCAGAAATACCATTGATTTCTTCTTTGCCAGCTTATGGTTTCAGCCTGCAACATTTCCTCTTTTTTTTTTTACTTTGCAAATTTTGTAGCATAATGACATTGACCACATGTTGATGAGCTTTGGTTATTCTTTGTGTTGTCCTTTTTCAGACTACACATAAACAAACAATATTATTAATATCACAATAATCAAGAAGGTTCTTGCTAAATATTTAATTGATATAACGGATTCAAATTACTAACTCTGTCAGTTATTCTTTCTAATAAATCAGTCCCTGTAACTAATTTTAACTGTTGTGAAAAAGTTTCAGAAATACTTTGTTGTAATTTCATAATTTCTTCTGTTATTTTGTCATGATATATTAGGTGTTGTCTTACATTATCCCATGAAAATTCAGACTCATTGCAACAAATAGAAGTTATACAGTATGTAGTAAACTTCCAATCACATTTTAGAGTCATTTGTCATCTGAAACCTTGTAATTGATCTCCTAACATAACTACTGTAGATTGTAAATCAGCTATCTCAGCATGTAGTTGACTATCTATTTGTCTCTGACTATTCCATAGTTTCTTGACAGTACTATGCCAATTTTGAAGAAATTGTGTGGTTTGTATTCCTTGTTGTAAAGCAACCCCAGCAATGGCAGCAGTAGTGCTTACTGCTATAATACCCCTAATTATGGCTATTAACATTCCTACAAACTGTTTAGCACTTTTTAAAAATTTAGTAAAAGTATGAACATAGTAGAGGAAGACTCAGCCCAAGGATGAGTCATATGTACAGGTATCCAAACTCCTGATCTTGTTTCAGAATGTATAATTGTTGTTTAGTCCAGTTAATGTTAATGGACAAATTTATACAAGTATATAAAGAACAATTGGTACAAGTTAAGGTCTGATAAATTTCATTCCACTGACCAGGTCCAATCATTAACACA